TTAACAATAAGATTTTTAATAATTATTAAAATTATGAGTGTAATAGAAACTAGTCATCCGGACGATTTAGCAACGTGTAGTTAATTAATGTCTTTTTCTTACAATATTGTTGCTGGTCCTATCGACAAAGCGAACGTTTTTAGAGTTTGCTGGTCGAGGAAAGACAAAGATACAAAATCAATCACTTTATGTAAAGCTGAAATCTAATAGTCTCTGTTAAGACGCATAATTTGGCGAACATTCCGTAGATACGTATAAGCGACTGCAAGAAATATTTTACTTATATACTATACCAATTGGAGACGGTCACATTGTACTGAGCGGTAATGAGAGTTATATTTTTATTAGTAAACGAAACATAAAAGTGGCGTATAATAAACTAACCGAAGAATCATTGTTTTGTATTACGCGCTCTCGCTCTAGTGTGTAACAATTGTTTTATATATACATATATGTATATAATGTTGACGATCACGGTTCGGCTCGGTTTATCCTCCTCTCCCTCTCCTTTCCCTCCTTCCGCCACCCTCCTCTCCCCCCGAGATCGAATCTGCCGCAGCGAGACACCCGTTTCTTTTCTCGATAGTTGAGGGTGATAATGGAGATGACGCTTAGCGGACAAAACTGTATTCCATTTCCTTTATTGGGTATTAATAAATGATAAATCTCTATATTTCGTTCTCTCTTTTTATTATACTATTAACGCGTCGTAGATACGTGAATCTTAAATGTACTTTTGTATCCTCTCCACGCAGATCGTCGCGTAATATATCACAATGCATTTGGAAGATTTTCAAGTACATTAAATAATTTTTTTAATGCATGTTTCAATGGAGAATAATTTTAAAGGCTCTAAAAGATTTTTCGATGTGTTTTCATAAATATGATTAAATTGTAATTCAACGTGCCGCTTTTCTAGTCGCAGCAATGTTCCCCTCAATATGGATGCCTAAGGAGGATTCTAACTGTTGAAATTGAGAATTAATTATTGAGTTAATTTGCAATTTTTACGTATTGAATACATCAACGGTCTGTTATGTTAAATTATCTTTTGTTGGAAAACTCTTTGATATGCGTGTTATTTGCAATCTCTTAGGTAAACACACAATTATAATAAGATTTAAGACATCAAATAAAAGGGGTATTTTTAGAAAAATCATTTTTACCTATCATAACGTGGAATATAAGCTTCAACATAACGCCAATTTTAAATAATCGCGGCAACTTGGCAGCATCCTAGTACCGCGCTCTTCTGATGTTCAAAATGCGCAAATACACCTGCGTTTCTTGCGCCAACTCAGCTTCCTGTTCCGTACTTCAGTCACTTCTGTTCTCCGTAATAATCACGGAGTGTACTTCTGTGAGAGCTTTGCTTACGGTAGAGGTTATATTTAAAGTATGATGGCAGAGGTGACGTTAACAGAGGAAGAGTTAACGCAGAAGCACAAGAAGGAACGCAAGGAATTGCAAGGTATTGAAACCGAAAATCACAACTTCCTTTATCTTCATTTTTTAAATAGATCTTTGTAACTTTAGTCGTTCTTCGATTTGAGGTTAAAACAGGTCTTTACACAATGTCTAACGTTCTTTCTTAATCGTAGCGCAAATACAGATCTTGAAGAAATCCATTTGTAAAGGTGACAAAAAGAAGAAAAAAGAAATTACTGAAGAGATAGGGCGTTTAGAGGAGCGTTTGGAGAAACGTCAAATGGAGGAGCTGAACGCATGGAGACTGGCTCACGTTACACTGAACGACGAACAGACAGAATCCGAAGAAGCGAGCAAAGAAATTAGTAAAGACAATTGCTTGGAGCAATTGGCACACAGGGTTTCCAAAGCGCAAAAAAGACGAGAGAAGAAAGCAATTGCAGAGAAGGAACGCAATCAGAGAATCATTGAACAAGAAGCTCTTAACATTTTTGGCAAAAGAAATGTCGAGATAGAGGCCATAAAGAAGATACTTTCTGAGCGCGAGTTAATGATCTATGAAATTCCTAGCGATGGTCACTGGTAAAGATTTTTAAATGTATAATACCATATTAAAATATTGCCAAGAAAGGAAAAACAAAAGGATATTTTATAATTTATATTGTTTTATAAGACACATACAGTCACAAAACTAATTATCTGGACAATACACTTATCATTTTTCAATTTCATAATTAACAGCAATTTGAAGAAATTATCAATATAATGATACACACCGTCTAGACAATTAGTTTCTTAACTATATATGAAAGTCTAAATTTGTTTTCAGTTTATACAATGCTGTAGCACATCAACTTAAGATAAATGGAGAGACGCCTTTTAGCCTGCACGATCTCAGAATAAAGACTGCTGACTATTTAAAAGAAAATATGAATGACTTTTTACCATTTCTTTCGAATTCTGATTCTAATGAACTATTAACATCTGAGGAGTATGAAAAGTACTGCAACGATGTAGCTGAAACAAGTGCTTGGGGTGGTGCTGTTGAGGTAATTAAATAACATGTCGTAAACTTGTATGTATACAATAGACTATAAACCATTAAATTTTTTAAGTATTTCCTCTGCATGAATTATTAATGTAATATAATTTTTTTCCTAGAAACACAATTGTTTTTTTTTTATTATTACAGCTACAGGTATTATCACGTATATTGAAATGTCCAATCGAGATCATACAAGCTACAGGGGCTCCCTATGTCATTGGAGATGAATACAGTAACGGCAAAAAGATAATATTAACCTATCATCGTTATATGTATGAATTAGGCGCTCATTACAATTCTGTTACGAAATACGTTCAGGATGAGGAGAGCTGATAAAGGTTTGCTTTAGACTTAATTTCTATTTTGTGTTATACCAATTTTAAAATTTTATTATTAATTGCTGAATTAATCGTAATGAATGAAACATGTTGCAATTTATGAACATGTTTTTACCAGTCAATCAAACTAATTTATTTTATGTGAAAAATTCAATATGAATTTTCAAATAGTATAAAAACTTTCTCTAAGAATATACAAAGATATTAAAAAAGCTGCCAGCAGAATATTCCATCTTCCGACAAGAATTACATTTCTAAACTTTACATTGTGATGTTTGTTAAAATATTTATAAGAGAAATTCTTCAAATGTGTACAGTTGACTAAACGACTAAATGCAAAATGCATGTAATTAACTTTTCTATAAATTAAAAACGAAATATTACAACTAAATGCGTAATGAAAATATATATAATTGGTCAGATATAATCTTAATAGTCACAACATTTTAAGAATTCTTTTTACAGTCATTAGTTAAAAATACGAGATACATATCAATGACGTATCAGCGAAGTATATATTTTTGGTCATTTCGACTAGTTTACTGACTTATATTTTAATGTACACATTTAGAGCTAAAAATGACTGAAAGTTCTACATGAAATTTACTGTAATAATATATTTCCTGTAGATTCGTAAAGTACATTTTTATCGTATATTTACTAAATATAATCACATCCTAAAGTTTTATATATTGCAATTGTATGTATTATCATATCGTAAGTAGGGATTTTTAAAATAGATCGAGTTAATAGTTCTTAGTATGTCATACACTATTGTGTGTGATCTTCCTACATTAAACGGGCTTCATGTAGTCATATTTAGCGCTAAACGTGCGATGGGAATGTGGACTGTAGGGGCGTTTAGACATATTTACTTAAATATAGCAGTATAGATATTATAAATATCTTGGCGAGATATGTGAGCTGATTTAGAGCTCTTATGTTATTAGAGAGAGTGATTAAATTTACATATAATTATTTATTTCCCAAATGGATATCAGACAATATAAACATGCTGCCAGCAAATATGCAAATACTTATTAAGATTCAGTGTTCTTTGGCTTATTTCAAGAAGTATGTACAAAACATATTACTCTTATTGTGCACATTATTTGTGTTCATTGTGGTAGCTGTTACGCTTTAAAATATTAAGTGGCTATCAAATCTATAAAAAATGTTTGTGATTGCGTTTCAAAACTCAGAGTAGAATAAAAATTAGCGTTATTTTTTATTTAGAATAAAAAAGTATAAGTATACTTTTTAAATTCATTTTAACTTGCAAGAATTAACTTTGATCCTTAAGGCTAATTCTACAATGTGCTTTTTGTTTTCTATTTCTTACTGTTTTCTCTTGTCTTCTTGATCAAAAAGGCAAGAGACAAATAGAGACAAACAGCAAGAAACAGGAAACAAAAAGCACATTGTAGAATTAGCCTAACTTTTCGAACAAACAAATATCGTGCAACGATGAATAAAATATTTTAGAGTCTTGAAACGCAACTCAATATTTATAAGTGTTTCTTGTGAATTTTTTTCCATTTCCTAATTATTTCTATTACTTTTTATATAATGTTAATAATAGTTTGAATAGTAATTTTGTAATTTTATCTATATAAAGTGACGGATTTCGGTTTATCTGTAAAAAGCCTAGTCTACAATGTATTTCTTATTTCCTGTTGCTGTTTACTTCTTGCTTTCCTCTTTGCAACCATTTTATTGACAATTATATTTTTTGCTATGTATTTCTTATTTCTTTCGAAGTTCATTAACTTTTATCTCAGGTGGTAGAAAACGAAAAATGAAATAAGCATATTGTAGAATAGAGGCATAAAGCGACAAAAGAAAAGGTAAAATATATAAATGATTTGGAATTGTGATGTTAATAGACAAGGAATATTCTAATATTTACAATACTATTAGTCTCATGTTTTTGCGATTTTATAAATATATATCTACTTGATTGTATGTAATGGATGTGTAGTCGGATATCAAATAAATATGATAAATACAAGAAACATTATTTATATAATTTAATTATTTTAATTTTAATATAATTTAAAAATAAAAAATAATTATTTATAAATCAATTATTGATTGAAACAAAAATAATTTTTAACTTAAATAAAAAATTTTGAAATACTTTTTCCAAAAATTATCAGTTTTATATTTAAAAAAATATAATTTAAACTTTATTTTTCTGCACTATCGTTTGATGTTTCATCATCTTCAGTCACTTCCTTATTTTTGTTTGGATCATCAGGCTTCATTTGAGGGAAGAACAATACTTCCTATAAAGATAAAAAAAAAATATATATCCGTTCTTCCTCATACATAAAATAATTTATCTATGTAGAAAAATAAATTATATATAATTTTATAAGATCACGATATTCTTTTTCAAACATTTTAGAAAATATACAAATATATAGTTTATATACTCACTTTAATATTATTCGAGTCGGTAAGGAACATTGTCAATCGGTCAATACCCATTCCCCAGCCAGCCGTTGGAGGTAAACCATATTCCAAAGCTGTGCAGAAATTCTCATCAACCAATTGTGCTTCTTCGTCACCAGCTGCTTTATCCTTTGCTTGCTGCTCAAATCTGCAGATTTGATATGTTGAAATTTGTAAAATTGAATAACTCAATCAATGGCCTTATCAAAACATATTGTGTATAACACAAATTTCTATCAATAATAATGTACCTTTCTCTCTGAACGACCGGATCGTTCAGTTCGGTGTACGCATTACAGATTTCCTTTTTCATAACAAATAATTCGAATCGTTCAGTAAGACCTTTCTTGGATCGATGCCATTTTGCCAATGGCGACATTGCTTGCGGATGATCAATGATGTATGTGGGATTGATACATGTATCCTCGATGAATTCTCCAACGAGCTATTCCGCAAAAGACATTCCGATCTAGAGTGGCTGATATTGTGTGTAATTAAAAGGTACAAATGTCTTAATATACATATTTCTGTAATCTTCCTTCTTATTTTCGGAGATTATTAAATCACTAAATTGTTCAAAAAGAAGTTAGATAACGCTTTCTAGGCTTTCACGGGTTTTCTTTTTTCAAAGATACCAGGAGTTTTGCGGGTTATCGCCGTGTCTTTATTCATTGCTAATGTCAAACTTTTTTTTCTTTGTTTTTAAAGATCTTTGAAGTATCTTTAAAGAAGTTAGATATTTTATTAAGTTTTACTTATGTCTTACCTTGTCTAGTAATCTTGCCGATGTCTTAGGAGGGGGACATTCGATTTCGTGCTTTTCACAAAGATCACTAAGGAACTTGATTGCCGTTGGTGTGTTAAGCTGATCGGCTTTGGGCAGTTTGACCTGCAGAATCTCTTCCAATTGCGTCATCATTGAGATGCGCTTGAAAGGTGGCGTGAAGTCGATCTCGTGTGCTTTACCCTCTGGTCCGTCCGGATGGTATTCTATCTTGTAAGTTCCATGTATAGACTTTACCATGCCAGACACCATATTCTCCGTGATCTCCATTAGGTCATTGTAATCAGCATATGCCATGTAGAACTCACAGGTGGTAAATTCTGGATTATGAGTCATGTCGATACCCTCGTTCCTGAATTGCCTACCGATCTCATATACTCTGTCGATCCCACCGACGACTAACATCTATTAAATGTTTACTGTTGCGCCTTATTTTTTCTTTTATTCTATATAGAATAACGCTTATTTTAAACTATATGGAGAAAAAAAGTGCATACCTTGTGATACAACTCTGGAGCGATTCTCATGAACAAATCCATATTGAGTTCGTTATGATGTGTAACGAAGGGTTTGGCAGTCGCACCTCCAGCAATCATATTCATCATGGGAGTCTCGACTTCCAAGAAGCCCATATTATCAAGAAACTTGCGTATATAAGCGATTATCTTCGCACGTATGTGAAAGATTTGTCGAACCTTATCATTTAATATGAGATCCAGGTATCGCTGCCGAAATCTTGTTTCCTGGTTGTATACAAAAACGTTTAATCTAATTACGAATTATATATATTCACGTAATATATATTAGATCAGTGTATGTTGTGCATGAGTTAAAGAATTATTATAACGATTTTAACACAAATTTAAAATATATGTGTTAAGAATTATGTATATTTGCAAATTTACTGCTTACTTTGTCTTTCAGGCCAAAATAAAGATGTGGCAACATATGTAAACATGGACTTAGAAGGGTAATAGACCGTGGTATAATTGAGAATTCGCCTTTTTTGCTTTTCGCAGGTTTGCCGATGACGCCTATGATGTCGCCTCTCTTAATCTTTGCAGTGTCTGCTACAAATTTTTCCTCGCTTTCATATAATCTCGCATTAGCCATCACTTGCACCTTAACACCTTCTCCTCGAAGATCGTAAAAGATTAATTTGGCACCGGATCCCCGAATGGAGTGGATACGTCCAGCAACGCTATGTACCTCCTCATCGAGTACTTCACCATCTTTCACGATATCCTTGAATTTCTCAATGAACTCCTCCAGGGAGATAGATACGTGAAATTTATGCGGGTAAGGATTATCATTAATAGCTTTGAATTGACTGACCAAGTTCGACCGGAGCTTAAAATATTCCTGCAAACATATCAATTTTATAATAAATCTTTTTAGAATCAGCTCTTAAGATTTAACCTTAGCTATACATTTCGAGATCTCTGAGACACCAGTGTAAAATTTCTATTATTTATTAACATTTATTAATAAAATTAATAAATGTTAGGACAAAGTTTTGAATATTTATTATGATTTTAGACTATTTTTTTGATTTATTTAAGATTGACTAAAAAATAAATCATAATACACAATTTTCTCAACTGGTAGGATCTTTCTGATCTGTGTAGCAATCATGTAGATAAAAAATAAATGTAAACAGCTAGGATTACTAAAAAGATTAATGCACTGTACAACAGACTTTGGTTAAAAATATTAAAGTGTACTTAATATTGAAAATTATGCTGCTGAATTTTATTAAATCCAAGAAAATGTAATTAATTGCTGTCTCTTGACATAAAAGATCTTTTTTATCCTTTATAAAAGAATGTCTACAAGATTCTGAAATTTACATTTGGACTAATTTCTTCTTCATTGATTTCCTTTTTCTCAGACTTTGGTTGAGCTGCCGTTGCAAGCGTCCTGGCCTCTTCCTTCTCGGCCTTCTCCTTGGCCTTTTGTTCGGCCTTGAGACGCCTTTTCAGTTCGCTGCAATTAGAATATCGTCTCAAGTCACTTCTCTCAGGATCGAATGATGTATCGAATGATTTATTACGCACTTCGTAGCATATCGACGCGGAGGAGTCTGACGCAACTTCGTCGCGTGGCTCGTTAACCAGGTTCGCGCTATTGGCCGCGTAATCATAACACAAGTATTGGTTAACGTACCAAGCATGATCATGTGTTGGGATTAGACTTTACCCGTCTGACGTTTAGATTTTTCTACAAGATATCGCTATCTGCGACAAGATGCGAACCATGTAATGAGCAACGTGTTATGACCGCGTGGCAACGAGCCACATGTTCCGGACTTTTCTCCTTTTTAGGTTATGTCGCCCGTGAGGGGAAAAGTCGCGTGTTGCGAGCGGCCAGGGCGATCGAGCGAAAAGCGTCACGGCACCCAACGGTTATTCTACAGATACGATAATCTCGTCCAATTTCGTGCACTCTACTTACTTTTTCGACAGCTTCTCGCTCATTACGTCCACCATGTTGGCAAGCTGTCGCAGAAAGGACCGTCTCCTCCTCACCGGCTCTGACACCGTTGCGTTGGTCGGACTGCACGTGACTGCACATGCGGGATATATGACGTTTTGCACGGTTTTCGGAGAAAGAAGAGAGAGGAAGAGAGATTTCAGGTTCTTCTTTCGCAATTTAAGGTGCGTGAGGTGCGTCCCGTTCTCGCTGCCAGCGATGGATCGGAATGGAATTTTCATAAAAAGCGGCGAGCGTTTTGAATTGTCACATGTACGATAAATCTTTAAATGTGATTAAAAACCGATTGATATTTATATATTTATAGACTGATTTTTGGTATGTAAAATTGTTTTAACGAATTAAAGAATTAAACTATTCTGAGACTATTCCTATAAAATAATCGTATAACATCTCAGATGCTTATTTATGTAGGCAGTCTTGAATAAATAAGATCGAATATGTATTCATAATTTTTACATGGAAAACAGATTTCTTTTTTAGATGGATTATTCTCATTCGGTCTCTTAAAATTTATTTAAAGATCACAAGCGTTCTCCATTTTTACATCGTATAATTCAAATTAAAAATTTCTTAAATTTTATTATTTTTTTATTTCACACGTTTTCTTACATTGAAGATTTTTAAAAAGCTTTCTTTTTTAGGCTCACTATAAAATTTAATCGGGAGAAGCTAACTTCGAGGGTGACTTCACTTAAATTCAGAATCAATTTAATCCTCCGAAACTGACAGTGGATCTATTAGACCCACTCAATTATAAATCTTATAAAAACGTTTTTAATTTTTTAATGTTAAATTTTTAATGTTAAAATATGTTAATTTAATTTTCTTTACATATTAATGATTTATAGATTTAGATTATTCTTGTTACGATAAGTATTTATATTCACTTTTGTATGAATTACATATGTCATTTTGGTTCCTTGAAATTAATTCGTGCCTTTTAATTAATATAAAATTAAATAGGTCATACAAAGTCAGCATCAGTAATTGTTACAGATTTTGACTTCAATTTCGGAGGATTAATTCGCGATTAATTCAATCGGCAAAACTATAATACGATAAAATTTGTATATCTGTACTCGTATATATAGTATATATGTATATATTTTACCGTAATCTAATTTTCCTTTCCACAAGTGAAACAATAAAGTTATTAATTTCCGTATTAATACAGTTTGTCTAATAAGTTCCAATGGATTGAGAAAAAATCAAGAAATTAAAATATTTTAATATATGTATAAATTTTATATTAATGAAAACTATATTAACATTATATAGTTCCTCCTGATTTCAATGCTCAGAATGTCTTTCAACCGTTGCGCGTTGAAAGCTTTTGTACAGTAGTCACCTTACGAAATAGTTTTCAATGCGCTCGTCACATTGAAGGCTATTTCGAAGTCAATTCGCCTAGATGTCCAAAATATCATCAAAACGCGGTCTCTTTATTTGAATTTTTCATTTCGGGGATCAAAGCCATCTGCATCAAAGAAAGCGACCGACATCTTGATTTTTGGATTTTGTGTGTCGCTTTTACTTTGATCAATTTTGCTTCTCTTAAAAATTAACACTAGGTATAAATATATTTTAAAACAAAATTTGTTTTAAAATACGAATCTGAGGTTGGTCAATTCCAGGTTTGAAAATTTAAAACAAAATTTGACCACAGCTATTCCATTATAAACATTTTTATAAGTAAACACATGAATCTCATATGATTTTTGAAACATTGTTTGTAACGCCATAAAAGAAAATTATATAAATAATCTTCACATTACTTAAAATTTCGAAATGCTGTATGATCATTTCATTAGATAAAATCTTGAGATCAAACTTGAAACAATCTTAAACTCAGAATATAAATGTTGCCTTTAATCTTTTACATATCTATCTATTTATCACGTTTTACTTATATCTTATTTATTTTTACATTGTAAGTAACGTATACATGGGTATATTTTTTGATTACGCAGTAAAAATTGTTGAAGTTAAATTAAATAAAAAGAAATCATTAAATGTACCATAGCCATATGGCACGTTCGACCATTTTTATTTTCGTCTCCATAACACGCGATTGAAATTGTTCTCCGATCGAGAGAACGGCTGTTGCATATTCAATTTAATAGATAAATAGTTTCGACGCTGCGCGATGTCAAGCGTGGAATTTTTCGGCCGAGTCAATTTCGAATCAGGCCACCTTATCGGGTAACCGCGAGTTCGTTGCCATAGCGACGTCAATTTGTTGTTGTGGGCCGTACGTTACAGCGAAGAAAGTGTGAGCTTCAGGTATTTTCCTATAATAATATTCGCTATGGACGGCTGTTTCAGTTCGGCGGATTTACAGGCTCTCCAAAATTTAATTTGTCCATCGAAGGACGATTCCGACATCGAGGACGATCTACCGCAGGCGGGTGCGACGAAGTTGAGTGAGTTTACGTTTTACGACTGATTAATTATGGAGATACACCCGGCAAAATTGTTGCTGTTAAAACAATCGGCGCCGCGCGACGGCTAATTTCCCCTGTGCAATTTCAAGCCGGATGAAGCCCGATATGCTCCCAAACTGAAAATCTCGTTGTATCGTTACGTTTAATTCGATGTATTGTTCGGGATATTATTTAGCCGGGCGAAAAACGTAATTAATTGGCAAGCACAACAGTTTCATATAATGCACTCGCATGCGCGCGCGTTTATTCATTCACGTATTTTGAATTTAATAATAACAATTTGCATTTTTTTAATTCGCATTCGCGAACTTGAAGCTCGCGAGATGATAAGAGAAGCTTTTGTAAATGTTTTTGTTTTAAGTGTCGTATTTTGTGTAGATGATATATGTATAAAGTTTATAAATGTATCTAGGATTTTTTTCGAAGGAGATCGAGAATTTCAGTTATGATTTCTATTATTATATAAATAGTATTTTTTCTACATGATTAATGAATTGCTTTTTTAAATATTTTATAACTCAAAGTATTTTTATTCTTTCGTTGCTTTTGAATAGGAAAAATATTAAGGATCGTAAATCATAACTTTTATATATTCTTTTCGAACAACAATGTAAGTAAAATACATTTATATAAAAAACGAAATGTGTTCTTTAACATTACACTTATTATTATTACATACAAAATATTCATAAAAAATCCTGAAAAAAGAAATCTAAAAAATTTAGAAAAGAATGGCCTCCTAGTAAGAAACTTTAATAGTTATTTAAAAAAATATTATTAGAATTATGACACGTTGTTAAAGTTCTAATTAGTAAAAGTTTCAGAAATTATTTATACATGGTCGTAACGGGGAGAAAAAAATATCTTGTGTGACAAAATCAAACATTTATTTAAAATTAAAAGTAAATATTGTATATATTTTCTTTAAATTAAAAACGAAAAATAACACAATTTAGCGAGGAGCTTCTGAATACGTCCATAGCAGAATTGCGTTCTCCCTTTTATTAGGATCGTATAGGTAATGCGTAATTGTACCGAGAATTAAACTTGTACCGCGAGTTTTATATGCATATTTCGATTTCTTCTTCGTAAACCGGTATAATGTTATCGACGTAACGCTTTATAAATGATCCGACGCAGCAGCCAATGCAGCGCAAGTTATATTTGCGCTGTCAATCATGAATTCTAATAGGACTCGTGCGATTCTCAATTCGCAGTTACGTTTAATTATAAATCATCGTTACACATCCGTTTTTAAATTACCGTTAAGCAGCTTACGCGCCATCTCCGGGTGATGTTATCATGTGTTATTCTCGGGACAATGTAATGTTATTAGTATTAGTCATTAGTTGTGCGAGACAAAAACAAGACGATTGACAAGATGACTAATGAAATATTTGCTTATAAGGACCTAGTGATATCGGCGCGCCGAGTAACCCTTCCCAGGGTCTTTCCCAAAATCGTTCGGGACCTCATGCACTCCTGCAAGGCAAGGGTGACGATATTTGGCATCCCTCGGAGGCGGTCGACACTCAAAGATTGCAGGATTACGACCCCAGGAAGACGCCCGAATACGAGATAAAGTTTAAACAGGCAGTGACAGCTGAAGATGTTTATTTGGGAGTAAGTTTCTTTTTGTTAACAATTAAGTATTAGAGCTTTGATATAATATTGAGCCATGAAATGCTCAGAATTGTAAATACAAAAATTTTCATCTTGGAAAAAAGTACAGATTTATCTCATCTCTCTATTTTATTTAATTTACGTTTATATTATACATAAAATATTTTCAAATTTTCAAAAAAATATAATACAGGTATAGAATTTAAAATGATGATCCATTATTTATCATAAGATCCACGATAAGAATAAAATATGATATATTGTAAATAGTTTATATATTTTTACGTTTATATATATCGCAGTTTATTCTTATCGTAGATCTAATGATAAATGATGGATCATCCGATTTTAAGTTATCTATATCTGCATTTTTTTTTAAATTCGAGAATATTTTATGTATAAGAATAAATGAAATGGAATAAATAATAAATCTATATTTTCTTCAAAAATTGAAACCTATATAACCATTCCATGCTGCAAGTCAATAAAATTTCCATGCTTCAAAGTCAATATAAAAACTAATGAAGAAGAACGTAATGAAACAAAATAATAAGATGTTAATTTAATTTATAAAATGAAAATATATACCATTTTCGGATTGCGTTTTAAAAATTAAAATATATGCAATTTTCCTGGAAAAATAGAATTACTAATAGTAAAAGAAATAACTAAAGAAATGTGGCGCAATAAAATAAAGTAACAGAGCCAAGACAACACGTGTCTAAAAAGAGAGGGAAAGAGAAGAGAATCTTTCGATTATTTTCTCTCAAAACCGGTGACTTTGCGGAACGTCGAAAGAGAATTCATTTCACTCGACACGTTACGTGTGAATCGCGGTCTTGAAGACGGACGAATTGTTATTTAGATGGGCTTTAAAACGCCGAGCACGGCGTCCTGCGAGTGGCTGTCGGTGCTGGTGAAATTGCCCCAGGAAACGCGGGAAAAAGTGGAGCTCTCCGTGGAATCCGAGGCGATCGACGTGCGCAGTCCAAGGTGAGATGACCACGACCAGGAATTTATTAGTGTGACCCGCGTGACAGAAGGAGAGCGAAGCTCGCCCCCGCGCGCGCGCCATCGGAGTCGCGTTTGATTCCGATGGAGGCGAGCGTCCACCCTTCTTTGACAATTTTACGAGGCTGTAAATTTGCCCGACGCATAAAACCAGTCGTGATTCCGCTAGATATCGGCTGCACCTACCGACACCACATTCGGTGGATCCCAACGCGTCCTCCGCCAAGTGGCACAGCGACACTTCCACCCTGGAAGTCACTCTGAAACTTACACGTGAACTGGACAACGTAAACTTTTGATTTCGGATCGATACTTCGTTATTCTGGATCGCCTATCGAAGCAACTCGTGGTAAGTGTTTTATTGTTCTCGATACTGTCCGAGTGGTTAACTATTCCACTTCTGTACGATCCTAATGATGAGTTTTGTTTAACGAGCTCGATACAGATATCTTCTTAATTATGTGCACTGAGAGACAAATGAATCGAAATGTTGCGAAGCAAATGTTACTTATTGATTTCTGTGAAATATATCTCATTGATTGTGAGAGAATAAAATATATGGTTCATTTGTTAAGAATAAAATTGTATTTCACTGTATTTGAATGAAGATGTATTTTAGTGAAATGAATATACTTCTCACAAATAAATTTTTAAATATCTTTCTCTCAATGTGCATTGATAGGTAATTTTTTATTTATAGTCTTTCAGAGTTTTATATATAATCTATCTTAATATAAATTTATTAAATATTTCAATTAAACTGACGATGAATTTTTGAGGAAGAATCACTTCTACTATTCATTTCTATTTGCTGCAGCTCTTAATTTCATGAAAAGATTTTTATTTTTTTATTTTTTTTATTTAAGAAGTTATTCATGTCTCGGCATATCTATCCGAGGAGAAAGAATATTTATACAAAAGAGGATCTATTATTAAAATGCATTAATAAAATGAAACACCTTGTATGCAGTCTTGTATTCATCACGACATCTATATACATATATGTATATATGAAACCGCGCGCATTGATCGCAATTGCTCCGATTTATGATGAATACACTATTTAAAGCGCCAGCATATCATTTATTTGTCACCATGATGACGTCACAAGTAAAAACGAAGTTCTTCAGAAAATAAGTTTAAATATTATAAATTATTGAAATTCTCTGTAATTTTAATTTTGAAATGCAACTTTTATGTAATATAACTGACATAACAAACGAGATTATAGAGAGAAATAAAAGTATATACTTTTAAAGTATATTTTTTTTTCTTCGTTTATGTTAATTCGCTCTTTTTGCAAGCAATTAAGAAAATCACAATTTTTTAGTTATATTATTGTTATATTGCAAACGAGCGATACATCTGCTTGAATGAACCAAATGATTTTCGAGATACATATACAATCCCCCTCGCACAAACACGTTTCATAACGGATGTACGAGGACGAGACCTCCGTTCATTATCAAAGACGTTCATCATTATATACCCCGTTACATCCTGATAGATTTTTCTTTCGTCGACCTCGCGTGTCGCTCGGTGGCGAGTGTATAACATATCGACAACAAAATCGTATTTGCATTTTGTGTAATGCCACGTCCTTGATTGCGCCCGTTACGCGATGCTAATTTCCCTATAAGTAGAAAATTGCGTCTTGTAACGACGCGGATCGTTCGTCTCGTGATTGTAACGCATCAATTATGCCAATGTTTATAATCGAACATTCATCCACATATAGAGACGATTAAAGTAATATCGATGATAATAGGCTATTATCAGAGCGGAATAAGCGCGATCGTGCTGTGAGACAATCGTTCGTACTTGACGAGGACTTCCTGAATTTTGATAGCAGGCACTCCAAGAGGTCGTGCTAGGAAATGCACTTGCATCCTCGTTCAAGAGAGTAGAACTTGAATCTCAAGTTGACTCTTCATTTTCATTTGATTCTAAACTACACTTGTAAATAAAGAATGTTATTCAAGTTAGCATGGAATGTGACACGCTCAGTGTAGATTACAATTAATTAATTGAACAATTAAAAACAAATGCAAAATATTTGTATATTAGGAAAAATGTACTAAATTTTAATAAATATTTGACTAGTGCCAACTAAACGTTTATTTACAGTAAATAAATATTTAATGAATAAAAAATTATCTCAAATTAATGGTTCTTATACTATATATAAGATATATATATCTTCGTATTTAGTAAATTTTAGTTGGTACTATTCAAACAAATAAAAATTAGAATATATAAAATATTCGTATATTTCTTTAACGTTTATCTAATAAATATTAATAACAAAAATTATAAAATATTATATCAATAACAAAAACGTGCTTATATTCAAGATTATATATGTCTCTGTCGGTAAGAAGTTGTAATAATGTTAGAGATAAGTAACATTCAAATAGCATATTCGATATATGTGAAAGTAAATACCGCGACATTATATTAAGTAGTTGATTTCTTAAGTATATACTTGAAATATATACCTCCCTTTCTAATTATCTTCCACTAATATATGCACGCGTCTGGATGTCATAATTATATATTACGAGTTCGAAAGATCAATCGTTGAGATAAATATAGGCAAGTTTTTTTAATTCATCGACTGATCAATCGCATTATGTGCAAATGCAACTTTTACAGAGTAAAATTGCATTTGCCATAATGCGATTGATCAATCGATGAATTTAAAAACTCGTCTTACGTAACGATAATCAAATTACGTTAGCCGACGTGATAGCAATGACAAAAGACGCTTGCAGACTTGAGCATGGAAAAGCAAAGCAATTGCTTTTGTAGTAAAAACAGAGGATTACTCAAACGGAAATGTACGACGTGCTTTATAACGCGAAACAAACAAATGCTTCCGCTTCCACCTTCGGCTAAAAGCATTCGTTTCGCCTTTATTTATTTTCCTTCGTGGAACGTAGATGCATAAACTCAAAATGATCGCGCTTTTTTATACGTGCTCTCCGTTTTAACATCGTATATATACGCCGTTTAATCAAATCAGCACATTTTCACGAGTCGACGAATGGCACGAACCTAATTAGCCCTGTCAGAACTTAATCAGTCCTTGAACATAGTTCGTTAGTTTCTTGCCTCTACCTTAATTTCCGGCTGCTAAAGTTTTTAATTCCGAACTTACCCGTTATTATCGAATAATTTTCTATTTCGTATTTTTACAGTGAAGATGCCCTGGACGATCGTTCAAGCGTATAAAAAGTTACAGCGTCGTAAAAAATTACGTTGCGAAACTGTGCGCGATTTCTTCCTTTTTTTCTTTTTTAAAGACTCCTTTTCACAGAAGAAACTGAAGGACGATTGACATAAGGATGTACCGTAGATTTTTATAAAGATTTGTAAAAATTAAATTTTAATTTGCGGAAATCATGTTTAATGCGTGATAATACATTCAGTAATAACAGCAGCAACTGTAAGGACTGCTTTTGTGCGAGCTGAACTTTAGCCAAACGATGCTGGCATAAAATTTTATTCTATTCTCCTTTCACCCTTAAAGTTTACACGGACACTGCAAAGTCGGTAGCTTAAGATAGGCGAGCGGCGCGGTGTAGTGATTTTACGATGCGCAAGCGGACTTTGTCGCCCGACGAACGCACTCAAGGATGCACTCTCTAAGGTATGCGAAAGGTACAGTGACTGTGCACATAGAACCGGCTGCATTACGACGGGCTGTCCTTCATCGACTTCCTTCGCCGCATTTCGTAGCTTATTTGGCGGAAAACGAGTGATGGAAGGCATTTTTCATGAGCCTTTTTCATCGTTATTTGTCATCATATACGATTTATATAATTTGTATAAGTAAAACGCTTATTCCTTCTTTATTAACAGAATCAAAAACGTACTAGGTATTAATGCGCGTTTTGCTATTTTAATTGATTAAATCTTGGCACTCACGCACACATCTATGCTTCGTTAGAAAAGAAATACAATGCGTTGAAGTATATTAATATCTCTTTTTAACTTACTCAGATGAGGGGCGCAATAAAGACTTAGAAGAAATATACATGTTGCTCATTCGCTGCAACATAACTAAAAAATAGTCATTTTGGAATTGCTTATAAAAAATAAACGAAAACAAAAAAGAGAATATATTTTAAGAGACATAACTTTATTTTTCTACAATCAGTTATTGCACCAATTTACATTTTCAAAATTAATATTATAAAATTGTAATAATTTAAAACATTTAAACTCATTTTCTGAAAATTTTGGTTTTTTTTTTTTAGTAGCATTATTGTTGTGTAAATGCGTTAAGAATAAATGAAGAGATAAGAAACTACGCATAAAATTACCTTTTTACTAAATCAATAGTGACAACTTCACTGAAGTACACAGTCTATGTATAGATAGAACGATTTTGTTTAAGTCTTTAAAAATTTAATGAGATACAGATCTGAAAATAATTTTGTTGTATGATCAAAATAATTACGTAAGAAACTTAAGCACGATGAGCAATGCTATGAAAAGTTTTGATATTCCAGCAACTAGTTTGAGTGTTCCACATAATTATTTTGATAGTCTAATAAAGTTATTTTCAGATCTGTATCTCATTAAATTTTTATACACTTCAGTAAAACTACTTTATTCTATATTAGGTTTATAAACAGAATAGTGTTTTTATATTTAATATATTTATTTCGATTATACGTATATATATTATGACATCTAAACATCATTCTCTGCTTAGAATTTTTGAACTTTATTATATTGTTTGTGTGTGTATGTTGAGAAATTTAATTATAAATCAAATAAAAGATTAAATATTTATTAAATTGAAAAATTCAGAGAGAGCGTAAGTAAATGTGTGGTTTTAACGAAACGTGACGGCTCAACAGATTCGAGATTTCGCCGAAATTTCCAAGTTTCTGATGGCAGACGTGAAATAAAAATAAATGCGGAGCGTCAACACGCAAACTCATGGTGGCGGCATATGCGAACATTTTCTCATAAATATGCAAATAAATATTTAATATTTAATCGTAACCTGAAAGAAAAAAGTCAAAGGTACTGAGAAATATATAAGTGAATTCTTTTTTAACTAAGAAAAGCTGGAGTAGCGCTACTGCATTATAAAGTAGAAATCCTGTGACATAATTTCCCTAAATGAACAATTTTATTCGTTGCAACTTGCAACGCAGCAATCTGGTGTTTTACTTGAACAAATTCTCTTTTATTCAAATTCTTGGAATCCTTTTGGAACAAGCTTTTAATATTTTCTATCATAAATAACGTGAAAAAAATGAAATAATGTTATTTTAATACA